TCCCTTTTCTAGTCACTAAAATAAAAATAATCTTGTTGAATAAAACAGTAAAAAAAAATGAACAAAAAAGAGAACTGGCCTCTTTTTACATTATGTGATGAAAACAAAACAAAAATAACAACAATTAGTTTTTCACACATTATATGTTGATTCATTGAAGAGGTCAATTTGCATCAAGTCTTGAAAAAAATACATTATATTTTAAAAAACTCTGACTTGATATTGTACAGGAATTCAGTGATTTGTTTAGTTTTTTGCTGTAATTTTTGCAGATGAACTCTGTTACAATTAAAAGGTGTAAAAACTACAAACGTTAACTTATTGATTAAAGAACTGAACGGTGCTTGAATTCCATTTAAAAATGTTTAAAATGCTGAAACAATGACGTAAACTGAGCAGTTTTAGTTTCAGAAATTTGTCAAAAATCAAGTGCTAATTTAATGTTTTTGTTAGTTAATAAAGTTAACTAAATTACCTACTAGTTTAGCTTTTTAACTCATTAGCTAAATAACAAATTCACTAAATATTTCAATGTATTGTATCTAACTGGTATTTTTTAAGTTTTTGTAAATAATACTAACAAGTCATAAAACTTTATTTTCTCAAAACATTTTAAAGTAACCGCTTAGATTAGTCACTCCATATTCAGCACAAATGCTAATGTACAACTTTAGTATTGAACTGTTTTCTTCTCTTGCTTAAAGGGGTTCTTTTTAGATTAAAAATAAAATTAAACTGCATAAAATGTAATGTGCAATAAATGTTATCAGTTATGCTTTGTCTCTTGTTAGCTGAATCGCAAACTCACTAAACATTACCCTGTTTTTTCTATGTACAAAGGCTTTTTATTAGCTCGATCATTAAAGAACTATGAAGTTTCTGTAAATAATTACAATTTGTTCAGCTTTACTTTCTCTAAACATTTCAAAGTACCTGCTGTGTTAAAAAAAATAAAAGAAAAAATCAGTTAGCCACAGATGCTAAGTAAAAACCTTTAGGACCTGAAATGAAAAAGTGGTTCATTTTTTTTGAGGTAAAAGACAAATGAAAAAATGGAGAATAATGTGAAAAAAATTGGGAAATGCAAAGTGGGTAGATATCAGTTCGCTAAACAGCAAATTCACATATTACACCTCTGTGGTCGGTCTACAGAACATTTCTGTACAAACTTTATTTTCTGACCACAGAATCTGACCTGTTCCAGCTTTTGAAATGACTTTTCTTTTGTTAAAAGTAAAATAAAATTAGGAAACTATAAAAAGTAAAATGTAACGACAAAAAATAAGGTAGATAATTTTAAGGTTAATCTTTTTCACAAAAACATTTGTGTCAATGACTTGAAATAAGCAATAAAGTATTGTTTTTATATGCTAAAGAAGCTAAAGTTTAACAGTTCAGCTATCTTCTTAACTAAACAGGTAATTCATGTATTATTACCTTGTACTGTACCCAATTAGGTTTTCAGCTTGACCACGACAGAACTGTCTAGTTTCTGTACAAATTATTTTAAAGTACCTGCTTAAATTTCTTAAAACTCACCGTTAGCCACAGATGTAAATGTACAACTTTGGGACTTAAACCAACTTTTGCTAAAAGTGATTTATTTTGTTAAAAGTAAAATAAAATGAGAAAACTATAAGAGGTGAAGTGCAATGATATAAAATAAGGTTGATAATTTTAGCATTAGTCTTTTGGACAAGAACAAGCAACAGATCTGTTGTGTTATGCTAATGACGCTAACTTGTCAGCTAGTCCCTCCCTAAAAGCATAWGTCAACGATGTGCAATAGCTTATTAAAGTTTTCTGATTTCTGGACTCAAAATTGTTAATGTTGAACACAAATTCACAAAAAAAGGATTGAATTGATGATATGAAGAAAAACAAACTGAACCTACAGGTTCAGTGTGAAATGTTGTGTGTTAGTTGTTGGTTTTAGCAAGCTTTGAAAGGGATCCCTGATTAGTTGTAACATTACATTTTTTTTGATAAACATATACTTTAACTGTGAAATAAAGACTGTAAAAATAATTTTAAACTAAAATTAAAAAATATATTTTAACACGGACGAAGCCATTTTATTTCCACACAAAGCATTCTGGGTAAATGATGACGTGGATAGGTCCTCGTTGCGAGGCTGCTAGCGAGCTATATCCACCCTGAAGGTTAATCTTGGACAATATCTGATGATCGACTCTTTTAAATGAAACCAGAGAGCGTTGACAAAGAAGATGCCCCCTTCTGTTTTATATTTTTAAACTTTTAGTTTAAAAATGATAAAAACTGAACATCCTACAGTATTTTTATGGTCTTTATTTTACAGTTAAAATACATGTTTATTAAATAAAGTCTAATGTTACAGCTAATCGGGGATCCCTTTAAGGTGCAGATGAGAGCCAGTAGTTTTTGTTAATATTTTAAAATTTAGCACAAAATCTGGCATGAAGGAAGTGTAGCAGAACGGAGTGGTTTTCTTGTTTTACCCGGCAAACACCTGGGGTTTGATGGGTGACGGCAGGTTCTCGTTGTCCACATTGTTGGTGTCGATGGCAGAAACTTTGGAGGACCTGATTTCCAGGGGATACTTCTCCAAGATGTCGTGCACTTCCTGCTGGACGCTCTCGGGCCAGGAGAGCAGATCGGCCTGGAGACTCCTGGCAGCATCCATCAGGGCGTCCTGCCGGCTGCAGAGGCCCGACAGCAGCTCCAGGTTGTGGTTAAGCTGGGCCAAGACGGGGTTGGTGGCAGAAGTGTCGAGGCCTGGGCCAGCGTTGGGCCACTCGCTGCCCTCTGAGCTGCTGAATCGCGGTGAAGCTTGACCTGACATGTAGCGCTCAAACTCCTCCGGGGAAAGGTTGAGAGACTGAGCGTCTAACTTTTCAATGAAGGCCACTGCGCAGCACTAAAAAATACAAATAAAACAAGAATAGATACTGAAATAAACACTGTTTTGTAGAATATGATGCAAGCAGAAGATCAAAAACAACAAAGTGAAGTCATTAAATGATTCATCTGAGAATTGGAACAAACCAGGTTGGTGAAGTAGTACCCGTCCTCTCCGGTCATCAGCCTGCTGGGGATACAGAACCGGGTGATGTACTGGATGTTGGACTGAAGGCGTGGAGGGTTGGCCTTCAGCACGATGTAGATGAGCGCAGGCAGGAAGTCGTCGGCGGACGCCGGCTCGTTCTTGGTTATCCGGATGGCGCTGAATATGTGTTTGCTGCAGCGTGTGATGCAAGCAAGCTTGTCCCGAGGAACCCTCTTTGAGTCCAACTCAATGATATCTGGATGAAGACGCGAAGGTTGAACAGATCAGATGTAGTTAAACAGGTGAAAATCTGACCCTTTATCAAGATATTGATTTGTTTGGATGATGATACGATATCATACGAGACCAATCAACATGATGACTATATGGATCGATGTTTTTATTTGCCTTGATGTAATTGAATCATCATTCAATCAATAAGTCGATGTGGATCAATGTATTGTACCCATAAACTTAAATTTCACTAGACTGAGCCCCGCCCATCCCGTCCACTGGTAGTGTCTGTGACATCATGGAGGAGCAGAAACAGACCAAACAGGACAACAGCTCACAGCAAACATAGAAACTAATGGATAAACAGGATCTGTTTCACAAATTATCTGTCATGTTTTTAAATTAATAATTATGTTAATTTCATTCAACAATCATG